CTGCGAATTGCCCAAGTCTAGGTGGCACATCTACAATGCAACCTCTACACCTAAGGCTCACAAAACATAGAACAGGGGTAAAGAAGACCCTAATGAATCTCTCAGTTCTCATTAGTGAAGCCCCCTCATGTAGCAGAGGGCCGGGAGCACAAAAGGTCATAAATGGCCAAAGTGTAGAGACGAAGACTGTAGAATGCTGGTCCTTGGACAGGACTCCTATATTAAACTTCACCCACCCAGGGCTCAAGGACCATTGTAGGAGGGTGGAAAGATTGTAAGAGTCAGGGAGGAAGTGCATGACCATATGGAAATAAGAGTCCTACAAGCTCCTGGGAGCCTGCTCATATGAACTTACAGCAATGGTGTCAGCATGCACGGGACCCATGCAAACCAAAACAGTTTAAAACCCAGCGTAGAACTGGGGAAATGGACAGCTGACTCCAATCTTAGCTGAAGAAATATTGGCAACTAATTACTGCTGGGTGTGGAAGAGCTGATTTTCCTAAAGTGAGAGACTCTAGATGACTCTCTAGACGCTAGACCTCAGTAGATGAACTTACACTGAGGGACGTCTGGGAACACTAACTTGACACAATAGACCTTAAGACAAATGACAGAATGTATGAATTCCAGTGGGGGGAGGGCTATGGGAGGGTGTTAGTGGGGAATGGGGTATAAAGACAATTGAGATTGTTTGGGACGTTCTGTATGAAATACACAAAAATTCAATTAAAAAGGTTGAATAGTGAACAAACAAACAAAAATAAACAAGGAATTGAATCAATCAACAGTCAGCACCCCCTTTTGGATGAGTCCCCAGGCACGTGACAAATACTTATCACCTACAAGTTTTTGCTGCTGAGTGGAGAAGCCTAGTTTTATGAACTCAACTGTTTTAATTAATTAAAAATTTATTTTGTTTTTTAAATTGAAATTTTGCAATTTTCATAAATATAGTTTAATGATATTGAGTTTTTACATTGGGGTGTGTGTGTACCATCACACATGTTGAGGTCAGAGGATAACTTTCAAGAGTAAGTTTTTTCCTTGCACCATGTGGGGCCTGGGGATTGAACTCAGGTTGTCAGGCCTGGTGGCAAGTGCCTTTACCCACTGAGCCGTCTCACCAGTTCTGAACTCAAGTCTTGCTAAGTTTTCTTGGAAAGGATAGAAACAAATATAAGAAGAGAAGCTCATGGCCAGTGCTTTGGATTTTGGGGGCTTAGTTAACAGGGTCTCACTGAAACAGGATTGGAGAGGGTGGGGGCCCTGGGGATCCTTGCTGTGGGCTTGAAGCCACTTTATACATTTGCAAGAGTCAGTTAGTTGTCAAACTTAAAAAAAAAAAAACCAAATAAACTGGTAGCTAAATAGAAAAATCACTAAAAATCTCATTGTAGGGCCCTGAGGCCATCTAATTCAGTGTTGGAACACTTACTTGGATTCATCCTGAACACTGGAAACAAAACAAAATCCTTTACAATTAAAAAGGATTATTCATTATATATTTCATTCTAATTATTTTACTACATTTTGCGATCATGGATGCTGATTTCTGTTTTATTTTGTTTTGTTTTTTGGTTGAGGTAGAGACTCTTGTAGCCAAGGATGGCTTTGAACTCTTGATCCTCCTGCCGCTACCTCCCAAGTGCTGGGATTAAAGGTGTGTGCCACCACACTCAGCTCCACGGTTTTTAAAATTTAAAAAAAAAAATTTATTTAAATTTTTTGTGAGGCAGTGTCTTACTGTGTGACCCAAATTGACCTTAAACTCATGAGCAATCCTCCTGCCTCCACCTCCCAAGGGTTGGGATTATAGGTGTCAGCTACCAAGCCCAGATTCATGTGTACCCTTGAGGCTATTTCATTCTGCCTCTGTGGAAATGTTTCATAATACCTGCGTCTCTTGACTTCTGCTGTTAGCTTGGAGTCAGCTCTGGGATATTTACACCAAAGAAATTAGTGTAAATGGCTACAAATCAATGGTGCTTAAAGACGTCAGGAGTGACGGTGGGGAAAACCCAGCACTCTGAGGCAGGAGCTCCCTGAAGGGCAGATTTCTGTACAGGTAGTGTGGGCAGGGCAAAGCGCGGGCGGAGGTGTGCCAGCTTGACCCAGCCTTGGCCCAGACAAAACTCTTGCCTGGATAGTAGCAGATCAAACCAGAAGTGATTTGGGGGAAGGTTCCCAATTCTATTCTGAAATGAGAATCAAACAGTCCTCCTGTTAAAAGGCGAAGCCGGCCAATGGCGCCATCTAGTGTCAGAAACAGATTGCCGCCCATGAGGAACGCGTGATTCCTCCCGTGGGCTCTGGAAACACCGACTTCCACAGCCGCTTCCTTCTGCCCTCGTTCCTTGTTTTCTTTCCACGTTTCCATTTCGCTACTTTCAGAGTCAATTTTTTTTTTTTTTTTTTGCCTTTTTGAGATAGGGTCTCCCTGTAGTCCCACCTGGCCCGGAACTCGCTATGTAGACCAGGCTGGCCTCCAACTCACAGAGATCCACCTCCCTCTGCCTCCTGAATGCTGGGACTAAAGGCGTGTGCCACCACGCCTGGCCCAGGAGTCAACTTTTTAATCTAGTCCTCCAACAAAATAGTTCTTTTTAAAGAGAACTCAGGTCACAGTTATAATGTCAACGGCTGGATGGGAAGTGCAAAGTAGCCCTTGTCTATATTATACAGTTTGGAATGAACTTCTGAGTTTTCTCATATGGGCCACGTAAGTATTTCTCTAACCTTCCCAGCTTGCCCTGTATTCTTCCCATTTCCTGAGAAAGGTCAGGTGAAGTATGTTTTTAATGTTGATGTTTAACAAACACCTCTTCATTCTGTTTTGCAGATAAACTGGTAGAAGGGCTGCACACAGCTCCCCAGTGATAGGGTATTTCCTTTTTACATCAGGGCCTGTTGTTCATTTGAAGTGAAGTAATTGTGCGTGGTTGAACTCTCAGAAGCCTCTTCTAGAAGCTGGAGTAAAATTCTAAGTCTCTAATTCCTCCTAGAAAGGTTTATTTTTAATTTTTTTGATTTATTTTTATTTCATATGTAGTATATTGCCCGCGTGTATGTAAGTGTACCCATGTTGTACAATGCCCACGGAGGTCAGAACAGTCTACACTGCGACACTGCTGGCTGCCTATTTTCTTTAGAAATCGAAGATCCCATTAGGAAGACAGAAGTCAATTTTGCCCACATGGGGGTCAAACTAAGAGAGGAAGGATGAGGCCTAGACAGTCCTCTTATACTAAACACACATTTCAGTTCATCAAAATCGGGGAGTAAATGCTCAAAGCCCTCTCCTAGTCCACCCAACCCTGGGAAAGCTTCTGAAGTTCAGCCTATGCTGCTAGAGGCAGACCTGAGCCCCACAGGCCTCAGTTCAAGCACACACTTACCTTTCACCTGTACGTGAAGGGGCCACTCCTTCGGTGACTCCCGAACCTTCCCGTTGCCTAAAGCCTCAGGACCATGGCATCCCTGTTCTTTTCCCCAGACCTGTGTTCTGCCAATTCTCTGGGAAAAAAGTCAAAGGTCCAGCTTCCCTTTCTGTGATCATGTTCTCAACATGGCAACTACAGGTCAAATCAACACTGAGATTTGGGGTCTACCTCAAGTCAACTTTTTTGTTAGCATGTATTACACACAATGGCTTCATGATTTTCACACATATATAATGCATTTTGGTCATATTGACCCACTGCCCTCTCCTGTCCCCCTCTTGTTGATCCCCTACCTCTCCCCAAGCAGACCTATTTTCATGTCTTCTTTGTGACCCAATGGGTTTACTTAGTTGGTTACAGGAGCAAGGACAACTTAACAGTGCCCCCACCCCACTGCCTGCAGATCTTCAGCGAGGGGTGGGGCCTCATGACCCCTTCCCCATCTCAAATTTTAAACTATGTATCATACATTTCTTTTATCCAGTTTGTGAAAACCATTTGAATTCTAGATAGGAAAAAAAAAAAAACCCTGTTCTTTCCATTTTACCTTTTTATCTCAGATCACAATGAACTTCAATGACCCAATAGAGGTTCAAATTGGTTCAGTTTACATTCAAAAATTTTATTTTATACATGGGTGTTTTGCCTGCATATAAGTGCACCCATGTTGTGCAACACCCACAGAGGCCAGAAGACAGCATCAGATCCCCTGGAACTGGAGTTACAGATGGCTGTTAGCTGACCTGTGCTGGAACTGAACCCAGGTTCTGCGTTTTACATTTTACCTTACATCAACCCCCATGTTTCCACTAACTGGTCTGTTAACAGGCCAACAGATGATGCTTCTGATCATTTTGAGGCATTTTAACCTCATTATCTGGAATCTGGGATCCAACTGACTTTGTGTTATTTTGTAGCATTCTTAAGTTTTTGAATTTTTATATTTAACAATTATTTTATTATTTTATAATAAAATGAGTGCATTGCCTTGCATGTGTATAAATGAACTCATACAGTGCCCAGGTCAGAAGCCCTTAGATTCCCTAGGAACTGGAGTTAGCTGCCATGTGGGTGGTGGGAACCCAACCTGGGTCCTCTGCAAGAGCAGCCAGTGCTCAACTGCTGAACCACCTCTCCAGCCCCAAGTTTTTGAACATATCATCCACCTGGTACATTTGAGAACTCTCAAGGTTGTGATGTCCAAGAAAGGAAATAATATTGACTGTCCCATGTCACATGACTCAACCCTTGTTTAACTGGCCCCACTAGGAGCAATCATTTACTTTACGCACTCACTGGGAAACCATGCTCTGTTCTTACTAGCACCCCAGCTAATCTGTTGCCCAATAGTCTCAGGACCTGCTGCAATAGCAAATGGAAAACTGTTCTAGGGACTTCAGGGATGACCTACTTCCTAGGAGACCTGTGATACAACCTAGAGCCAGACTGAGCCTTCTTCATAGCAGGTAAGTTTAAGAAGATTCCAGGCAACTTCTGAAGATCATCCTGCTTTGCTTCTGAAAACACTGCCACTGTCAAAACCACCAGAACACAGACTTACAAACCAAGCCATTTAATTGTATCTTTCAAGGTGAACAAAACATGGACCTGGACCCCCAGCGTTAAGAATGCTAGAGTTCCAGGTTGGAAACCGTGATGTGGTTTGAAGAGTCCAGAAGGGTCAGAGCTCAAAGTGTTGGGAGACAGAGTGTACAGGATCCACGCACTCCATTTAGCAATTCTGCCAATTAGCACAAACAGACCCCATGGATGTTTTAAGGCGGAGAAAAAACCAACTCCTGGTTTTAGGGATGGAAGAATGAAGAATACCAGACGTTATGTGGATTCTCTTCAGGCCTCTCATAGGATCAGATGCCTACACTATGGCGCTCCCCAACTCACAGCAGCTGAAGCTGCTGGTAGGTTTGAGATCAGTCCCTCTGTCCATCCATTTATACATAATGCCACAGCAAGTGACCAGAGGCAGAGCGCTCTCATCAGGACAGCTCTTTAAGAAGCGCTGAGTGATAAAGAACCCTCTAGTGGCACACACTGAGTTAGTTTATAAGATTTTAATTTACAAATTAAGAAAGCTCAGGGTTACTTCTTCTCCTTCTTCTCTTCTTTCTTTGCATCGCCCTTCTCCTTCTCATCTTTTCTCTCCTTCTTGCTTTCTTCCTTTTCCTGTCCTTCCTTCTTCTCTGCGTCCCGGTTGGCGATCTTGTTGTTGATGAGGTTGTGCAGGGCGACCACGGAGCGGATCAGTGAGGCCAGGTACACCACCACCATCTGGTCATTGGTTTTCAGGTAAAAGGCCTTGACGAACTCCTGCAGGCTGACGTCTGGCAGCAGGTTGAAGACGTCCTGCAGCTGGTAGATGATCTGGTGGTTGATGGGCAGCTTGCCGGTGGCCACCTTCTCCAGGTAGCTCCTGATATCCAGAAGCTTGGAGTTCAGTCCCTTCAAACCATGGACCTGGTTTGTGATCCGCTGGGAGAGAGTTCCCACCGTAGTGTCCTTGATGTCCCTGGAATAACCACAAGGAAGGCTATGTCGCTGGAAAGTTTCTCACAGTCTAAGAAAACTAGGGAGGGACAAACTTTCAAAAGAAAACTAGATGTCTCTATTTGATAAAGGTAAGTATAAATTACCTTAGTTTTGCTGTCATGGGAGGGGATAATCAGTATTTTTAAAAAAATTTTTAAATATTTTATTATTTTTATTTTATGTGTATAGCATATTGCCTGCATATATGTAAGTGCACCCGTGCTGTGCAATGCCGCGCGGGTCAGAAGAGGGCATTGGATTCCCCTGGAACTGGAGTTAAGGATGGTTCGTAGCCACCATGTGGGGGCTGGGAATTGAACCCAGGTCTTCTGCAAGAGCAGTCAGTGCTCTTAACCACTGAGCTATTTCTCCAGCCTGAATTTTATCTTTTTTATGACAAGGCATTTTCCAAAAAATGACAATACTACAGAGCTAAAATGAAACTACTTACACTTAAAAAGTCAATTTTTTGGTCAGTAGTTCAGATCTGACAACAACTTTGTGGGTAGCACTGTTTAGAGTGCTCTAGAGCCTGACATGTGGCTCACTCCTATAATCCCAGCAATGAGTGCTTCTCCTCGACTTCCCTGTCTATAAAGGATGGCAATCCTCTATCCATTTTGCTACAGTGTTATAAGAAACTTAATTTAGTCAGGAGTGATTTCAGAACTGGAGGGACTTTAGTGATTGGTGAACACTGAATTTTTTCAAGTTTGGACCATACAAAAATCTCATCCCAAGATGAAGATTCTTCACAGAAAACTCCATTCATTGGAGAGCACAGGCCTGCATGTCATACACCTCCTGTATTCTGTCATGGTTAACATTATGGTTTCTGTTCAAAGTGTGCTATCTGTGAAGTCACACATTGTAACCCAGGACACCCATTTAGAGATGTTCAATGACCTCAACCTCTAAGAAATCAAAAGTTGGGCGTGGCAGCTCATGCCTTTAATCCCAGATTGTGGGAGGCTGAGGTTGAAGGATTGTGAGTTTGTGGCCAAGGTGGACTATACAGGTATACCCAGACTTTAAAAAAACGAATGATGGTGCACACCTTTAATCCCCAGCTGGGAGGCGGAGGCAGGCAGAGCTCTGTGAGTTTGAGGCCAACCTGGTCTACACAGTGAGTTCCAGGCGAGTTGGGGTGACAGGGAGACCCTGTCACAAACCAACCAAACCAAAAAATCCCCACAAACGAGAGAGCGAGAGCGAACATAAAGGCTCAGAAAGGGACCATGATCTGTCTACAAGAGGTTCATGAGTGGCTGGCCAGGGCCAGAATGAGATGAGACAAATCTAACATGGACCCTTCCTCATACCTTGTAACCTCCCCCTGCAGCTCACTCTGGTTCTGTACAAAGGGCTCACCTTAGCAAGTGTTCCACTCCAACTTCCTCAGCTTCCTCTGCTCCGATTTCACTGGTCACATGCTCAAAAGTTTTTGATGTTGGTGTTCCATCCTGGGAAAATAATATAACTATGGTTATTTACTTTCAGGAAGTCACCGGCACGCTTCCCCTTTCACACCTTGAATCTTCTGCTGCTAGTCAGCAAATTTCATGGCTGTATGACAGAGATTTCCATGGCAACAATGGGTCAGGTTTGTTTTGAAATATAAATCTTCAAAGCTGAAAAATTCTTTTGGGACATTATTGTTAGCTTGTTTGTATATTGTGAACCTATTGTTTGTATGTTGTGACCACTAAGTTGTTCTCTGAAGAACTTCTTCTTGTCAAGGAAAACTGATATTCCAATCAAGCCCACAACTTGGGGTTGGATGCTCAGGGAAGGCTTGGGTGGGATAAGAGTATATAGCTAAATCAGGCATGGTGGCACACACTTTTAATCTCAGTACTTGGGAAGCAGAGGCAGGTGGATCTGGTCTACATAGTGAGTTTCAGGCCAGCTAAAGGTATAGGAAGACTCTCTCAAAAACAAACAAAAACAACAACAACAACAAAAAAACCCCAAAACAAAAACACCCAAAAAGTATATAGGTATTTCTAGAATGGAAAAAATTAAAAAATACTCGCATATGAGACACTCGTGCAGCAAATATAACCACCATTGTCCCTTGGATCAAATGACACCAAGAGACCCAAATGCAATGCAACAGAGCGATCTGAACACAAGCATTTCCTGGGGGATTTGGTTCACACATCATCTTGTGATTTCCTGATGGGACTTGGGAGACATTTCTCTGACCTAGTGCTGGGAAAAGGCTGTGCACTTCCTTCTGGTGGATTTGTATTTAAGACTGCCTGATTTTGCCAGTATGTGCTAAGCAAGCTGCAGGGTCCTGGACAAGTCACTACAGTTACATTATGTGCTGTAAACGTGGACAGTTATTTTATTCAGCAAAGAGTGAATCTTCCAAGAGGCATTCTAGTCTTTGTGCAAGGCTCTGGTCATGCTAACATCCAATCTCCAAGACCATCATGGCAAATCTTTCCAGGTATGAATTCTTTTCTAGCTTCATCTTCTCACACAACCCTTATGTTCTGTTTACCTTCCACTAAAAAAAACAAAAAAAACCCCAAAAAACCACCTTCTTCCTTAGTGTGTGAGTATGAACAGTCCCAAATTCATTTTCTAAAGAGGCAGGTTGAACAGTAACTTAAAAACAAACAAAAAAACCACCACCAACAAAAACAACTGGATTGAGACCAGGGATGAAAGCTTTACTGCAACCAAACAATAAATTTGGATCTATGTGCTGTGGAGCTAGGAGAAAGTAGAAAAGGCTTAGTGGAAAGAATAGAGGCAGGAATGATTGTAGAACAGACTTCTAAAACTGGTGTGTGTTTGAGACAGGGTTTCACTATGTAGCCCTGGCTGCCTTCAAACTCAAAGAGATCTGCCTGCCTCTGCCTCTGCCTCAGGAGTGCTGGGATTAAAGGTGTGTGCCACCATGCCCAGACTAAATAGTTAAACAGTGGAAACATTATCAGAAGAGGAACAAATACCCAAGCTTGGCATTTCCTCTGCTCTGAAGGGCTCTGTGTAATCATCTGACCACTCTGGACTTCAATTTCTTTTGTGAAAGCAGAGTTTAGATTTCTTTGGTCTTTTTTATTTCTAAAAACTGACGATTCAAAACCTCAAGATCAATCTACTAGCAAAAATCAACCATCTCTTTAAAAGATGAAGGATTTAGCTGGGCATGGTGGTGCATGCCTGTAGTCCCAGCACTTGGGAGGCAGAGGCAGGCAGATCTCTGTGAGTTCAAGGCCAGCCTGGTCTACATAGTGAGTTCCAGGACAGCTGGGGCTACAGGGAGACCCTGCTTCAAAAAGACAAAAAAACCCAACAACAACAACAAAAAAGATGAAGGACTTGTGGACTTGAACATGGAAAAGGAATTTGCTAATTCAATCCCCCGGCTCAAAGTGAGACGACTTACATCATGAACCTCTTCCACTGAAATGTAGGCTTCCGTGGGCAGCCCCAGGTCCTTTGGCTTCACATCAATAATGACCAGTACCTGAGAGAGAAACACAGCTTAGCGAGCTTCCCCTGTGACACAAGGCACCACCTGTCTTTCTTCTGATTACTCAACTATTTTATTTATTCAGTTACAAACAAGCCAGAATGTTCAGTTCAACAAAACCCAGTTCATATTTCAAACTATCCCATGCTCTGTTCTGTTCTGCAGTGTGGCCACTAAGTCATGAAAACCAGATGTGTCCCCACCTCTGCCACTTCCCAGACCTCACTAGTCTTTTTTATTTTCTGAGACATGGTCTCACTATGTAGCCCTGGCTGGCATGGAACTCTTATGTAGACCAAGCTGGCTTGATCTCACAGAGAGCTGCCTGTCTCTGCCTCCTGGGACTAAAGATGTACGCCAACACACCTGGTCTTCTTAACTATTCTCAACTTCAATTTCCTCATTCATAAAGACAACATGTAGTTACTGAGAGGATGAGGTCAATTCTACTGTTGGTACTCAGCAGCATTAAGTGTTACTAATATACTAGGTTACAGTGCACTCCACAGATAGCTATACATTATTAATGCAATGCGCTTAGAAAAAAAAGTAATGAACTGAACTGCTGTCCAAATCCTTCTGAGGAGTTCCTGAATTAGCTGGCAAAGGTATCGCTGAAGAGTTCTGAGAATGAGCACTTACTGAGTTAGGACAGTATCTCTTCATGAGCTCATTGATGGCGATGTCATTTTTGTGCAGTTTAGGGCCTGTGTGGTACCATCCAACTATTCTTTCTCTGGCTGGGAAGGCAAAACTTATAGGTTTGAGTTATTTTCATAAAGATCTATACAACTGGCTTAAGAAGAGTAAGAATTTCAGTAGCTATGCTTGCTTTCTACCTTTTTGAAAATTCTAGACCAAAAACACCTTGATATATTTGTGTACCCTAAAACCCCCAATCAGAATTCTGTGAAGACAAACAGTATATGATGCAGAGACATCTATATCTCAGACTTGTTTAGAGAGTCACACATGAAGTAACTAGAGAACATTTCTAAGGCAATATAGTTGCCATCAAGATGGCGCTGCGGTGTGGGAATGAGGATTCCCAAAGCAAGTGGGGCTGCCATATGACATAAGAAAATAACGCAGGGACATGGAAAAAGATGTTCCCTGCTGACACTGAAGCTCTAGGGCTGGTGGATTGTCCTGGACAGCTTTCTCCTTGTAGCTGCAATCAGAGGGCCGGCCCCACCCTCCAGTCTAGCTGGTCTACCTGGCCTTAAGTTGCTACTATACTTTTCATCTAGTCTTCCTCAATCCTTTATCACCACCAATCTAAGACTAGCTAAGTGAAAGAATCCTTAACAGTAAAGGAAAACAGGTTAAAAACCAATAAGGCACCGATAGCATACTAGAACTTACAAACTCAAGTCTTACCATTGACCTTCTTAAACATCCCATACATGTTTTCCAAGTAATCATGGTCTAAAAACCAGACAGAATCATCTTTGTCATCTTCATCAAAAGGGACTAGAGAGAGAGAGAGAGAGAGAGAGAGAGAAAGCAAAAACAATTTAGCTTAGGATGCTAGATGGAATCGAAGCTCAAGTCACAGAACTTCCTAAGCCACATCTGATTCACTTTTCCATGAACTGTCCTATAGTACTGTTGCCCTCATTAAAAACTAAGAGCACTTGGGCTTCCAGGTTCTCTTAAAGCTTTAGAACTTAGCATTATGGGGGCAGAACCTTTAAAAAGGACACATACTCTGTAGTTTGCCAAAGACCCAGTTCCTTCTAACATTCCTCACTTGGCAAATCACATTACTGCCTGTCCTTTTAGACAGTGGAGTTGGTGACCAGAAACCAGGCCTTCCATTGCTGCTTTGACATACAGGTAACATACAGAGCATAAATGTAAAGTTCTGGTAGAGTCACAGTATAGGTCCCCATGCTGCTTCTTGTTCCACTCATAGCCAGGGTTTAAGTACTTAGTGTGGGACCTGAGGAGCTACCCTGATGGTCCGTCTGTACTATTGGAACGCAGCTACACTTGTTTGTTTGCACAGCAGTTCCTGTATTACAACGGCAGAGATGAGTCACCAGAGTGGAGATGATGGCCTACAAGTTACAATATTCACTCTCTGATCTAGTGTGTAGTCATCAGTTTTCCCATAGGCCAACAGTTCTGAAATAGGATCTTTGGGTTTTAATTAAAAAAAAAATACTAATTTTTTAAGTGAACCGACATTCTAACCATGCTCAGAAAAATCTAAAGCTTATATTTTACCTGCAAAACTGTTGGACACATCAAGTACTTTCTTTTGCCATGACCCCAACAGGACACCAACAACTCTCTTCTGGTTGCCAACCTTGCCAATTCTGAATGAAAAAGATGGGCGGTCAGTCAGATACATGGACCCAACAATTATTCAGTGGCAAATGTCAACAGCACAGATACAATTTAGTTTATGTGAAAACTAATCCCAATTAACAAACAACAGGTGACTTCATGGCATTAGAGATCATTCAAGAAATCTGAACACACACTGGAAGCTTTACTTTCCACAGACTGCAAATACATGCTTGGGGAGCATTCAAAGTTATCTTTCTTTGGCAGCTTTTATTTTATTTTTTTTCTTTACGCTTTCCCTATTTTCTCTACACTGAAATCTTTCCTGGGATAGAGACGCTAGAGTAGTACCAATTTTACGGCATGGTTTTCAGGACACCAAGTCCTCTCTAGAACATTGGTTCCATGCCTACATGCTCCAGGAGATGTACTTTATTCTCTGTCTAGGGGCTTAGCAGGTGATTACCACAGAGGCATGACGGTGCCATTTGCAGACTCTTTGGCTCATTAGAAGTTAGACATCTGCTGCTAACCATACAGAGAGAAGGGATGAATGAGGAAGATTTTACCATAGAATTTCTATCCCCATCTCAAATTTCCTGTGATTTTCTGCTATAGAGCTACAAGTGTTAACACTCTTTAAAGAATTATTTTTAACCATCTCCAAATGGTAGACATAGAAATAATTCAATTCTCTGCTAAGAAAATTGAACTATAACTCCTTAACAGTTCCACATTTCACATCAGTTTAACTGTAGTGTTTGGCTTCACATGCAAATCACCTTAGTAAATTTGGGGTACAGAGTGAATGAAAGTAAGGAATCTGTATTGTTTGTGGTTGATCCCCTCCCCCTTTATTAAGCCGCAAATACTTCAAACACCTTTTCCACATCAAAGAAAACTTCATGGGCTTTTCTTTTGGTTTACAAAGTCCACTTGTGCTTTTTAAAGCTCTCCATTTGTTCCTGCCCGCAGCGTCTGTCTTCCCCCACTCTGCTCTTACCAAAAGTTTGAATAAAACTAAAACAGTGCCACCCCATCAGGACCTCCACTGTATCTTGGAAGGAACTTCTATCTACAGTACAGCAGAAAAGCCCACTGTACATGGGCTGTTAGACTGAGGTGCCTACAAGCCTATACTACGGATCATAAACTTCAGCCCTGAGTCTCTCTGTGGCTTTGGTTGAGTTAGGTGAACAATGCCTCGTTTGCAACAGGCACTCAGCCACCAAATCTTTACAGCACAGATTCTCAACTGGGTCTTCACATTTGTTAACCCAACTAATTATCTTTCAAACACGTGGAACAGGTCTAGCAGGACCAACGGCTGGAAAGGGCAAAGCCGGCAGAGCCAGCGGGGTCCCAGGCGAGGTGTGGGATGTGCTCTCACTTTATTCATCAATGCCTGTCTCACTATGAGAAGGAAAGAAACCTGTCACCTTCCTCACATGTTCAAGGCGCCATCAAACCAGATCCCCCCTTAGAAACTCGGTGGGTAAAACCGCCGCCCACCAGGGAAGCCGTTCACCCAGGCAAGAATTTCGGTGACAGCTTTCACAGGCCCGGACACGCGAGACGCCAGCGCAGCCCGACAACGAGCCGCTACGGGGAAAGGCGCGGCCGGGCCGGTGGCACCGTGCAGATCTCGGCAAAGCACAAGACGGCCGAGCCCCGGGAGCTGCAATGCTGTCACCCAACTCCGAGCCCCGCGGCGGCTCTGCGGCCTTCCCGCCACCCCACCCGCGTCCCCGGCCCGCGCGCCGTCCCCGTGACTCAGCAGCCCCGGAGCCGCCAGGCAGGTCCGCGCCGCTGCTCACCGGTTGAAATGATCCACTACACTGAGCAGCACCAGCGGGTGGACCACCACCTTCTGCACCGCCAGCTCCGGCATCGCGACACAGCCCACCCGCCAGCCCCGGCTCACAACGCCCCGCAAAACCGGCCACCACAGCGACACAAGCCGCTCCTCCAGGCCCAGGACCACCCCTTCCGGTTTGGCGGCCGCCGCCGTACTATCGTCTTCCGCTCCCAGAGAGCTCTGCGCGGCGCGCCCACACGGTCGCCTGGGTCGCCATCTTGAGAAAGGGAAAGGGCTGGAGCTAGGCGCCTAGCATCCAGCGCCAACCTTTCCTTGGGACTTCAAAGCTGAAGGGGCGATGGGAACTGATGAAGCTAGACTTGGTGATGGGCCTGCCCCGGCTTTTCACCTCAGTTGGTTTCATAATCATGTCTCCCCTTTGTAAAGTAAAGAAAAAAACACGCAGAAAAACAAATAGTAAGTTAAGACTTCTACCAACTCAAATAGTAACACCATATATTTATGCTTCAAGTGAGCACTCTGAGGATTTCTTAGAGGTGTCTATTTTACTTACTTTTTAATTTTATTTTTAGAAAAAGATTTCATTTTTAGTGAAGGTGTATGCATGTGTGTAAGTGCACCATGTGTGTGCAATGCCTGCAGAGGCCAGAAGAAGATGTTGGATCCCCTGGTACTGGAGTGAAGGATGGTTGTTAGCCACCATGTGGGTACTGGGAACTGAATCCACGTCCACTGGAAGAGGAGTTAGTGCTCTTAACTGCTGAACCGTCTTTCCAGTCCCCTAATTTTATTATTTTAAAAACAGTATTTTAGCCGGGTGTGGTGGCGCACGCTTTTAATCCCAGCACTCGGGAGGCAGAGGCAGGCGGATCTCTGTGAGTTCAAGGCCAGCCTGGTCTACATAGTGAGTTCCAGGACAGCTGGAGCTACAGGGAGACCCTGACTCAAAACGACAAAAAAAAAAAAAACAAAAAACCAAAAAACCAAAACCAACCCCCCCCCCAAAAAAACCAAAACAACCCAAAAAAAAAAAAAAAAAAAACCCCAGGGTTTTATAGCTGGGTGTGGTGGTACATACTTTTAATTTCAACACTTGGCAGGCAGAGGCAGGCAGATCTTCCTGAGTTGCAGGCCAGCCTGGTCTACATAGTTTCAGGCTAGCTGGGGCTACATAGAGAGACCCTATTGAAAAAAGACAAAAAAAGGTCTTATGTAGCACAGAGTGGTGTAGACCTTGCTATTTATCTAAGGATGACCTCCCAAGTGATGGGATTAGAGTCATGTGTTGCCACAGATGGATTATAGGAATTTTAAACCTCTCACTGCTCATGGCCAGGTATGGTCTCCAGAATTGACTTTAAACACCAGCTAGTGAGTTGCTCTGACCAGTGACACAATGCCGCGAGTGACACCAGCAGAAGCTTCTGAAATGCCTTTCCTTACACTGTTGTTTGTTCTTGGAATGCTTACTCTTGGAATTCTGAGCTATCACATAGAGAGGTCTCACTACTTGGCAGGAGAGACCACATGGACGACAGGAGGACTGTCCAGTCAGTCTCCCAGCTGTTGTAATCATTCCAGTTGAAGCATCAGAAATGTTGGAAAAATTCCAGACGATGGTCCAGCCCTCGCAGACACCAGGTGGAGCAGAAGGAACTGCCCAGTTGAGCACAGCCTAGCTTTTACAATCCTAGGAAAACAATCATGGCTGTTGCTTTAAGTCACTAGTTTGGGGTGGTTTTTAATACAGAATAGAAAATGAAAACACCACACAATTTGTGGAATGTCTTTGAGCCTAATATTATTGGCCAATATATCACCTGCCACTCTGCCTGTGGTGAAGTAAGTGTTGATTAAGCGGTAGTTCAGTCACTTTCTCCATGTTTCCTGCTGTTTCTCTCTCATTTCAGGGTTTTTAGTTTTGCCATGGAGCGGTCCTCAGCTCAAGACTGAAACTGGAGCTGAAGAGATGCTTAAAGAGAGGCAACATTTTGGAAACTCACATGAACATGGAGAAACTGGAGCAGCCTTGTGGTATAGGATAAATTCTTGATACCTTGGCCACCCTTCCCTGGAAGCTTTCTCCCTTTTATCCATGTCTGAGATGGTAATAGAAAAGAGGATGCTCTGTGATTCAAATCTAGAAATGAATTTTACTTTTCCTCTTTCCTGGCTGTGCTATGTTAAATAAACCTCAATCTCCTCCTTTGCAAACCAGGACTAGTAATAGTACTTGGCTTACAGGGGATGGTGAGATGCCCAAGCTTTCCCCAACAGAGACATTCGAGAGAGTGCAAGTTGAGCATCTCTAATCCAAAAATCCAAAACCTGAAATCAGAAATTCTCTCAAATATGAAACTTTTAAGCACTGATAAGTCAAAAATAAAAAATTTCACACCATGAAGGATTATTTCAAGCACATTATTATTTTTTAATTACTTTAAAAATTATTTTTATTTTATGAGTATGAGTGTTATACCTGCATGTATGTAAGTACACCCCTGTTGTGCAATGCCTGAGGGGGTCAGAAGAGGGCATTGGATCCCCTGGAACTGGAGTTATGGTCAGTTGTTGGCTGCTAGGTGGGTGCTGAGATTTGAACCCATGTCCTCTTCAAGAGCAGCCAGTGCTCTTAACCACTGAGCCATCTCTCCAGCCCCCATCTTAATATTTTTGACTTGACATGGATCAGTGACTGCTACTACTTCTAAGATAACAGAACTTTTAAATTAAAAAAAAAAAAAAACAACAACTGGGGGCTGGGGAGGTGACTCAGTCATTAAAGTGCTTGATACTAAGCATGAAGACTTGAGATTGAATGTCCAGGACCCATGTAAAAAGCCAGGCATAATAGTGGCTGTGTCTGTATTCCCAGTTCTGGAGGAGTAGAGACAGGCAGATTCCTTGAACTTGCTGGCCAGTCAGCTCAGCTCATCAGTGAATTCCTGGCTCAGTGAGAAGCACTGTCTTAAACAATAAAGTGGAGGGGGCTGGAGAGATGACTCAACGGTTAAGAACACTGGATGCTTTTGCAGAGGACCTGGGTTTGGTTCCCAGCACCCATATGGCAGCTAACAACCATCAGTAACCCCAGTTCCAGGGGATCTGATGCTTTCTTCTGGCCTCCATGGGCACTGCATGCATGTGTTGCTCTTACATACATGCAGACAAAACACACTACACACATAAAATCAAAATAAATAAAAATTAAAAAGGTGGAGGGTAATAAAGGATGACATCTGGTATAGATCTGTCCCCACATATGCACACACATATATGTGTACACATGCACATATGCACACACAAACATGCATTCATACATTACGTGCTCAAAAATTTATAAAAAAAAGAATTTTGTCAGCTCTCATTATGCACTGCGTTAAAGCATGCTTGCTGGTGTTCAGTGCCTGATTCAACGTGGGCCTTTTATATGGGGTTATTCCTCACAGGGGAGACCTGTCTATTACAGAAAAAGCCCGAGAGGATTTTCCCCTCTAATTTGTCATTAGAGATTTAGTGTATATTGAGTGATCAAAGACTGATTTAATTTTTCTATGTGTCAAAGAATGGGAGTCTAAAGGAAACATCTTTTTAACAAAACATATCAAGAGTGTAAAGAAGACCACTTGAAATAATAAAGAAGGTACTTTCCATGTCGGCCCCTGCTTTAAGGAAAAAAGGGAATGACTTTAAATAATCCCTTATATTGGAGCACTACTGGGGGCTGAATTCTTTCAGAGGAATGTAGAAGAGGTGGCGGGAGGGGGATATAAGAAATCCACTTTCTTTTGTTCATCAAATTCTGGACTTAACTTCGAGAAGGTGGGATGAGATTTTAAGGATGATACAGTTTTCCCTCCTTTGATCATTTTTGTCTTTCGTTTAGGGAGTTAGTCCCCCTGACCCGGGATCTTGAAAGAGTTCTCATTTTTGTTAAGTCTGGGAAATGAATAATGGTCTTCTAAACAGTCTAGCAATACCTTGAACTCCGTGGCTTCTATTTTTCATCTTACTGAATTTAGGGGAGAAAAGCAGACAAGAGAACTACTACCCACAGCCCGAGCCATGTCGGCTGCTTAGTCAGACGCTGATATCCTTGGCAACTAAATAGGCCCACCAGCACTCCACTACCATGAAACCCTATGAGACCAGGATGGGCCCACCTTAAAGAGACCAAAAAAAAAAGGTAGATAGTTTTGAGCCAGAAACACAGTTTCAGTCTTTGGAGAGAAAGATGGCAATTTGGGGGATAATGGGAATTTGTACTCAGATTTGGTTTTCAGTTCAGACTTAGGTCTGAGTCCAGCATGCCAGGTTGGTAAACTATTAAAAAGTCAAAAAAACTGTGTCAGAAACACGTTGTGAAATATGCAGACACAGGTCTCAGCATGCTGATAGTAGTTATCTAACGGAGTGTAGCTCAGAGATGGAGACAAAGCTTCTTCCTCACTTAACAAATTTGGCTCCTCAAGGCCCCCATACTTCAGGAGGCAGCCAGAGACTGGAGTCTATAGGTGTTGCTGGTATTTGGCAATATCAGCAGGCACGGAGGATATGGAGATAGGCATGTAATAAATATATAGGGGCCAGAGCAAGTGAAAATAAAGCCAAGGATACCACAAGAGCACAGCCCGAGTCCTTGTTCTTTAGAGTTCTTGAAGTACTTGGAGCAGGAGAAACATGGCGAAGTCTTGGAGTCCTGGAATAACAGGGTTTATTATCTACTTACTCACGAATGTGACAGAACATCTGATCAAGCAGATTAAAGAAGGAATGTGTGATGGTTAGTTTTACTTGTCAGTTTGACACAATGTAAGATCATCTGGGGAATCTGGATGAGGGTTTGCCTGTGGGCCTGTATGTGGGGGATTATCTTGAGTATGTTAACTGAGGGTGAACTGCTGTGGTGGCCCCATTCCCTGGGCAGGGGATCCTGGACTGTTTAAAAGTAGAGACGTGACTGAGCACAAACGTGTGCATTCCTTCCCCCTCCGCCGTTGCCTCTGGATGTGATGTGACCAGCTGCTTCAAGACTTCCCCACAATGATGGAGTGTATCCTGGATCTTCGAGCCAAAGCCCTTTCTTCCTCAAGTTGCTCTTGTCAGGGATTTATTTATTTATTTATTTATTTATTTATTTATTTATTTATTTTTTGTCTTTTTTGAGACAGGGTCTCCCTGTAG